TTCCCCTGTACTTCGTTACTTGCACAGTTATATTTCCAATAAATTTTTTAACAAAAACCTTACCAAAACAGCTCGCGGCTTAAAAAAAAAACAAGTTGAAGTACTGAGAAATGCATACCACGTGCAAAATCAGCATCCTTGAATTGACCATTGAAGGCAAATTGATTGGGTGGTTTGCCAGTAGGAATCTTATAATTACGAAACCATTCATATGTTGCTTTCAGTAAACCCGGAAAATGCTCCTCCACATCTTTTATTCCATTGAGCTGATCCGCTTTCTCATCGGTCCGATCGATAGCAACCACTTTCCAATCGGTTTCGCCCTCATCGATTAGTGCCAGCACACCCAGAATTTTGACCTGAAACAATCAAAGCTGGCCTTGAACGTTCAAGGATTCCATAAAACCACTTAGTGTGCATACTTCAACTTTTTTATTACTCGAAAACACTCACTTTCATTCCAGCAACCGGAAAAGCTAGGAGGTTGAAATTTCGGGTATATGTTCCTAGCCCATGTATCATCCTTCTGTTTTAAAATTTTCGCTCATATGCGACTAGACTCCGCGTACGGACTCTCATTTTATGAAATTCCTCAAACAAATAATACTACTACAGTGATGCAGTAGCAGTATACATACCTCGATCACTGCACCACGTGGCTGGATTTTGGAACCAATTTCGAACACATCAATTGGATCGTTGTCACCTTTGGCTCGTGTTGCTGGGTCGGTATGCCCCGGATCTTCCCATGTTTGTGGCAATGCTCCATAGTTCCAAATATATCCTTTGAACGGGAAAATATTGTCCACGAAGCGTGGTAAGCCTTTTTTCACGTCCTGCTTGATTGGGGACATTGGTTCTTTGGTTGCCATTTCCATTTTAGCATTCGTCCAACGTGGTATTTCAACAATCATATTGTAGAAATGCTGAGATTTATCAGCAAATAGCGGGATATCATGCCATGGGGAGATGTAGCAACCTTTTTTGTGATCTTTGAAATATACACGATAATCCAAGCCGTAAAGGGCGCCAAATTCTTCGGTGCTGTAGTTTCCTCTGGCTGACATGCTGCTGCTGCTGCTGCTGCTATATCGTTGGGCACGTGTTGTTGTCTGATAACTTCGAAACAATATTGGTGCTGCTAGTTGACGTGTTGTTAAATAAAACGTCAATGCACCAAGAAATAATTTCATATACCAAATAACCGCTGCAGCAAACAACGTGATTGATGGGTATGCCCAGTTAAACTGAAATTGAATCTTTTAAGTTATCAAGTTTTGGCAATTTTCCAACAATAGGGGGATATTTTGTGATAGCTTCCCTTCTAGTTGGTAAGATAACTAAGCCCAATCTACGAGAACTGAAGTGAAGGATTAGAACTAATATCAAAAAACACTTGAAAAAAAAAAAACAGCTAAATAAACACATCAATAATATATATGTATATGTAGACAGACAAACATACAACAGGTGCAAAACGCTCACAAGCCGGTCGATGGCTTCATCTTTCGAAACAGTACCAAAAAAAACCTCCTTTTCTAAAATTATACCGGTTAAAAAACGAATCAGAAAAATTTCGAAAAAAAACAAGGAACATCGGTTTCATCAACCATAAAATATCTTAACAAAAGAAAAACACACAATTTCAGGTAC